ATATATATATATATATATATATATATATATATATATATATATTATCATATTATTTTTTGAAAATATGTATTCATGGCGACACAGATATTACCATGTTTCGGAACTAAAAACTAAAGTTTAAAGTAAACTTAAAATTAAAGTTTTATTTTTTTTTCCATTATGAAGCGATGTTGAATAAGTGAAACTTATTCAACCTCGCCTGGGATTGGGACGAGAATTTTAAGTTTAATTCAAATTTCAGTTTTTAGTTCCGAAACATGATAATTTCTGTGTCGCCATGAATACATATGTCTAAATAATAATATAATCGACTGTGTATCGAACACTGGTTTAAAAAAACAAACGCTAAAGATATGCGGATTATAAATCTGACTGTTCATTCTTTGTTTATACATATATATATATATATATATATATATATATATATATATATATATATATATATATATATATGATGGAACAGAGCTTACTTTAATTCAATTTAATTCAATTAATTATATTGAAGTTTTCCGCTCTTGTTTTGAAACATGAGACCTTTTATGTAGAGTTTTGGAATCACATTTTGAATAAATAATTATATCACTATATATATATATATATATATATAAAATATAAATACATAAATATATATATATATATATATATAAATAAATAAATAAATATATATATATATATATATATATATATATATATATATATATATATATATATAGCTGATATTATTGAGTGTTGACGTTCTCCTGTTATTTTCAGCCTTTTTGTACATGTGGATGATACTATTATATTGGTATTATCAACAAGCATTTTACGGGTATACTTTGGTAAGTCTCCATGTGTATTTGAATGAGACCTAATTGATCTATGGTCAGGGTGATGTAATGTGAGTCTTCTTGCTAGGCATGTTGTAGTATATCCAATATAATTATTTATGAATTTGGATCGATCAGGAATGCAGTTCCTTAAGGGACATATGAATTTGTAAATAATATTGGGTTTCTGTAATTTAGATCTTGAAGATAAACCATTATTATTAATTTTCTATTTTTTGTCGTCTGGAGTTGTGAAATTCTTTATGATGTTTCTACGTTAAGATTCGTCTTACTTAAAGTTTCTAGGCATTTGATTTTTGTAGAAAATGTCAAATCAAATGTTTAGTAACTATGAAAATCTTTAACTATAAGCAAGGAAAACAGTTGTAAAAAATTTCTTACGACAATAGTGCCTTTAATATATCTTATTTATAAAAGCAATTAAAAGATTTTAAAATAAAATAATGTTATAGTTTGTATTTTTTATTTTACAATTCAGAGCAGATTTTCAGTAAATGGCGTTTCTGTTTGACAAAAAAAAAGCCCTGATGATTTAAATTCTCCATGGAGTCCTGCTTTTAACTAATATCAATAATTAAGTGTTGATAATAGATGTGAAAAAATATTTTTAAAAGATTTTCTAAAAATGGGTATCGTTAAAATAATTTCATTCATTCCTGAATAAGTCCTGAAAATTTCCTTCAAAGGTGACACTTATTTGATATTTGCAAGAATTTCCAAAACATTTTTTTTACCAAAAAAGGCGCTAAATTCCCCATGCTAATCGTTGCTGAAAAAAATACAAGATTTTTAACCAAAATTTTCAAGATTAAATATATTTATTAACATGAATAAAACATAACTTGACCTTTCTTCTTAATGATAACATGCACAATTTAACGATAAAATTTTGTTTTTATCAAGGTTTAGAGTCTTTTTTCCTCATGCTATGCCCTTTTAGAAAATTTCTGGAGGTACCAACGCACACAGACACACACACATATATATATATATATATATATATATATATATATATATATATATATATATATATATAGTGTCTATGTGTGGAGGTTTAGAAATAAGAATGTAATTTCTTTCACCAAATAATGACTGTTACACAATTGTTGTCGTTTTACATAGTTTCTGTCAGTTCGGCGAAAGGAGATTGTCTTCAGAGAAGTAGGTGCAAATGAACTTAAATATACCTTGAAAATAACCATTCCACCGGTGCACACCTTGCATCGCCTATGCAACTGGGGTCACGCATCGCGTACATACTTGCACACGCTCGCTCGCACGCTCGTGCGCACACACATACACATAAGCACACAGGCGTTCAGAGATTCTTTTCTATTGAAAGTCTTATGTTTCCTTCTTTTTTTTTTTTTTTTTTCTTTCCAGAACGTATGCAGGTAGATTTTGCCCACGTGTGCACGTGGAAAAAAAAATGGGCATGGAAACTGGCGGGGTGGTTCTAGAAATCATTTGTTGTAAACAAGACGCCATGTGCGTGCCACATATCTGAAATAACATTGACAACCCCCCCAACTCCCCCCCTCCCGAAAGTTCCCTTTCCATCCACCTGTCTCTTTTCAACTAGGTCGTTGGCACCAGTAGGGAGTGTGGATGGAGTTGGTATAGGAGGTCGTAGAGTATTTCGACTCTGAAAGGGGGGGGGAATCATTATGAATAAAAAAATAAATAAATTAATAAAGAAACAAATAAAATAAGAATATGTTGAAAGTAAATAAATAAGCTACTGAGTGAAAAAGATGAAAACTGGAAATATAGAACGAAAAGGAGAAAGAAAGAAAGAAAGAAAGATTCATGTTGGTAGGAAAAAGAAAAAAAAAGGATCTGAGAAGAAAGAAAAAGAAAAGAAAGGAATAAAGAACAAAGAAAAGAATAAGAAGGAAAATGAGTGTAGAAAAAGAAAAGAGACGAATGCAGAAAAGCAAGAACGAAGGAAATAAAGAAAGAAAGAAAAGAAAGGAATGAAGTGAGAGACAAAGAAAAATAAAGGAAGGACGACTAAACTTGAAAGAAGAAAAAAAAAGGAAAAGATGTAAGCAATACGAAAGAAAAAGAATGAATGAAAGAAGTTGTGTGGAGAGAAAAAAAAAGTAAGAATAAAAATGAAACTTACAAGAACGAAAGAAAAAAAAAACAATGAATTAGGGAAAAAAACAGAAAAGAAAGAAAGACGCAAGCATAATTTAAGAATGAAAAGAAGGAAAAAAGCAAGAATGCTGAATGAAAGAAAGAAAGAAAGAATGAAAGAAGGAAAAAAGCAAGAATGCTGAATGAAAGAAAGAAAAAATGAAACAAGGAAAAAAACAAGATTGCTGAATGAAAGAAAGAAAGAAAGAAGGAAAAAAGCAAGAATGCTGAATGAAAGAAAGAAAGAAAGAAGGAAAAAAGCAAGAATGCTGAATGAAAGAAAGAAAGAAAGAAAGAAGGAAAAAAGCAACAATGTTGAATGAAAGAAAGAAAGAAAGAAGGAAAAAAGCAAGAATGCTGAAAGAAAGAAAGAAAGAAAGAAGGAAAAAAGCTAGAATTGTTAAAGAAGAAAAAAAGAAAGAAGGAAAAAAGCAAGAATGCTGAATGAAAGAAAGAAAGAAAGAAGGAAAAAAGCAACAATGTTGAATGAAAGAAAGAAAGAAAGAATGAAAGAAAGAAGGAAAAAAGCAAGAATGCTGAATGAAAGAAAGAAAGAAAGAAGGAAAAAAGCAAGAATGCTGAAAGAAAGAAAGAAAGCAAGAAGGAAAAAAGCAACAATGTTGAATGAAAGAAAGAAAGAAAGAAAGAAAGAAGGAAAAAAGCAAGAATGCTGAATGAAAGAAAGAAAGAAAGAAAGAAGGAAAAAAGCAACAATGTTGAATGAAAGAAAGAAAGAAAGCATGAAAGAAAGAAGGAAAAAAGCAAGAATGCTGAATGAAAGAAAGAAAGAAAGAATGAAAGAATGAAAAAAGCAAGAATGCTGAATGAATGAAAGAAAGAAAGAAAGAAGGAAAAAAGCAATAATGTTGAATGAAAGAAAGGAAGAAAGAATGAAAGAAGGAAAAAGGCAAGAATGTTGAATGAAAGAAAGAAAGAAAGAAAGAAGGAAAAAAGCAAGATTGCTGAATGAAAGAAAGAAAGAAAGAAGGAAAAAAAGCAAGAATGCTGAAAGAAAGAAAGAAAGAAAGAAGGAAAAAAGCAACAATGTTGAATGAAAGAAAGAAAGAAAGAAAGAAGGAAAAAAGCAAGAATGCTGAATGAAAGAAAGAAAAATGAAACAAGGAAAAAAGCAAGATTGCTGAATGAAAGAAAGAAAGAAAGAAGGAAAAAAGCAAGAATGCTGAATGAAAGAAAGAAAGAAAGAAGGAAAAAAGCAAGAATGCTGAAAGAAAGAAAGAAAGAAAGAAAGAAGGAAAAAAGCAACAATGTTGAATGAAAGAAAGAAAGAAAGAAAGAAAGATAGAAGGAAAAAAGCAACAATGTTGAATGAAAGAAAGAAAGAAATAATGAAAGAAAGAAGGAAAAAAGCAAGAATGCTGAATGAAAGAAAGAAAGAAAGAATGAAAGAAGGAAAAAAGCAAGAATGCTGAATGAATGAAAGAAAGAAAGAATGAAAGAAGGAAAAAAGCAATAATGTTGAATGAAAGAAAGAAAGAAAGAATGAAAGAAGGAAAAAAGCAAGAATGCTGTATGAAAGAAAGAAAGAAAGAATGAAAGAAGGAAAAAAGCAAGAATGCTGAATGAAAGAAAGAAAGAAAGAAGAAAAAAAGCAAGAATGTTGAATGAAAGAAAGAAAGAATGAAAGAAAGAAGGAAAAAAGCAAGAATGCTGTATGAAAGAAAGAATGAAAGAAGGAAAAAAGCAAGAATGCTGAATGAAAGAAAGAAAGAATGAAAGAAGGAAAAAAGCAAGAATGTTGAATGAAAGAAAGAAAGAATGAAAGAAGGAAAAAAGCAACAATGTTGAATGAAAGAAAGAAAGAATGAAAGAAAGAAGGAAAAAAGCAACAATGTTGAATGAAAGAAAGAATGAAAGAAAGAAGGAAAAAAGCAAGAATGCTGAATGAAAGAAAGGAAATGAAAGAAAACGCCAATGAAAAAGAAATCAAAAGAACGAGAGAGAAGAAGGAAGATAAAAAAAGAAAGAAGAAAAGACAACGAAGAAAAAAGAAAGATAGAATGAACGAATGAAAGAAATTAAAAAGAATGATGCATAAAGTGAGAATGAAAAGATCGAAAGAAAGATAAGAGGCCAACAAAAGAAAGAATGAACGAGCTAAAGATAGAACGAAAGAGAGGAAGAAAGACTGAACGAATGAAAGAGAGGAAGAAAGAAAGAGAGGAAGAAAAATGAAAAGAAAGAATGGCAGAAAGAAAGAAAGAAAGAAAAGGCTGAAAGTAAGAAAGAACGGGACCAGGGATGGAATGAAGAAAAAAGAAAGAAAGAAAGAAAGAAAAAAGAAAGAAAGAAAGAAAGAAAGGCTGCTGGCAAGGAAAGCAAGGGACTAGCGATGGAATGAAGAAAGAAAAAGAAAGAAAGAAAGAAAGAAAAGAAAGAAAGAAAGAAAGAAAAAGGCTGCAAGAAAAAGAACAGGACCAGGGATGGAATGAAGAAAGAAAGAAAGAAAAGAAAAAGAAAGAAAAGAAAAAAAAAGAAAAAGAAAGAAAAGGCTGCTGGCAAGAAAGCAAGGGACTAGCGATGGAATGAAAAAGAAAGAAAGAAAGAAAGAAAGAAAGAAAGAAAGAAAGAAAAAGAAAGAAAAAGAAAGAAAGGCTGCTGGCAAGAAAGCAAGGGACTAGCGATGGAATGAAGAAAGAAAGAAAGAAAGAAAGAAAAAGAAAGAAAGAAAGAAAGAAAGGCTGCTGGCAAGAAAGCAACTAGCGATGGAATGAAGAAAGAAAAGAAAAGAAAGAAAGAAAGAAAGAAAGAAAGAAAGGCTGCAAGTAAGAAAGAACGGGACCAGGGATGGGATGAAGAAAGAAAGAAAGAAAGAAAGAAAGAAAGAAAGAAAGAAAGGCTGCTGGCAAGAAAGCAAGGGACTAGCGATGGAATGAATAAAGAAAGAAAGAAAGAAAGAAAGAAAGCAAGAAAGCAAGAAAGAAAGAAAAACGAAAGTCGACACTTAGAAAAAAAAGAAGGTAGGGAGTAATCGTGGGAAAACGCGGCTCTAAGATTTAGGAAGGCTTTGGAGAAGGGGTTTTCTGACCTCAAAGAAACAAAGTAAATATGATGAATTCGGAAAGAGATGATGCCTTGAGCGGTGTTTTGTGGAGGGGGAAGGGGCGATCTAGAAAGAAGAATGGATATTCGTCATCGTTTTGTTTGAACTGGCGACATCTTCGGGTTCACGGTACTGATCGGGTTAGAAAGATGAAAGTAGGTTGAGTTGTAAGCGAACCTAAAACGAAAACTTAAAAATGATAAAAAAAAAAGAAAACAAATACACATATATGACAAATGTTTTCCTTTGCTATATATATATATATATATATATATATATATATATATATATATATATATATATATATATATATATATATATATATATATATATATATTTATTTTTTATTAATTTTTTACTAAATCTTGCAAATCTCATTTCTTTAGCTTTAAACTTATTCGGGGGCTGAGCGTTAATGTATGTCATTCGGGGATGGAGGGGGGGGAACAAAGAGATATTAAATAAATAAATGTTATCTACAATTCGAAATGTCCTTAAATTTAAATTCTCTAATTTCATTATTTTCAATCTTAAATGAATTTCTCCTTTTGTAAAAAACCAAAAAAGAAAAAAAAACAAGAATTAGAATGACGACATGAAACACCAACGAAGCAAAAGTGGAAAATGCGACAAATATTTCATGTTAGATTTCGAATAGAAAAAGATTTCAAAATCGACTCGACTTTGTTCTGCTGCCTTTCATATTAGCTCCAAAGTAAGTTCAAAGTTCAGATATTTTCACTCAGTATTATTAGAATCAACTTCACGCAGGCATTTTGCAATTGTTGCTCTTCTTCTTCTTCTTCTTCTTCTTCTTCTTCTTCTTCTTCTTCTTCTTCTTCTTCTTTCAAACCCCTTCAACATCCAACTTCTTTTTTTCAACATCTGCTCTTTACTCCTTCTCACTCTCACCTATCCCCTCCTCCTCCCCCTCCCCCCTCCTCCTACTCCTCCTTCTACTCCTCCTCCTCCTCCTCCTCCTTCTTCTTCTTCTTCTTCTTCTTCTTCATTCAGAGCCCCTTCATCATATTCAAATTCTTTGCGTCTTTCTTCAGCATCTGTTCTGCCTCTGTTCCTCCTCCTGCACTTCCTCCTGCTCCCACAACTCCTACTTTCCTCCTGCTCCGTCTTCTTCTTATTATTATTCACCTCCTCTTCCTTCCTTCAGACTCCCTTCGTCATATCCAAATTCTTAGCATCTATATTCATCATATGCTCTTCTTACTCCTCCCACACATTCTCTTCTTCCTCCTCCTCCTCCTCCTCCTTCTTATTCACACTCCGATCACCATACCCAACTTCTTTGAACCTTTCTTCATCAACTGCCCCTCCTCCTCCTCATTCTTCTTCTTCTTCTTCTTCTTCTTCTTCTTCTTCTTCTTCTTCTTCTTCTTCTCTTTGATAACTCTCTTTTTCATCCTCTTATTTCCCCCACTTCTTAAATCATCTACCGCTACAACTTGTTAATCTACATCATCTTCTTCTTCTTCTTCTTCTTCTTCTTCTTCTTCTTCTTCTTTATTAATTTATTTATTAATTTATTTGCATCCGTCTTCATCAATTCCTCAACTTTTTGTTTTATTTCCCTCCTCCTTCTCCTCCTCCTCCTCCTATTCCTACTTAATCACAATCATTCCATCTTCCTTATCTTTCTTTGTCTCTTTGTTTCTTTCTTTCTTTCTTTATTATTTTCTTCTTGTTCGTCTTCTTCTTCTTCTTCATTATGACCCCCATACAATTTCATCTGCGTTTTTTCTTTCCTCCTTTCTTTATTTCTTTTTTCTTTCTTTCTTTCATTCTTTCTTTCTTTTTCTTTCTTTCTTTCTTTCTTTTTCTTTCTTTTTTTCTTTCTTTATTATTTTCTTCTTCTTCTTCTTCTTCTTCTTCTTCTTCTTCTTCTTCTTCTTCTTCTTCACTATGACCCACATACAATTTCATCTGCGTTTTTTTCTTTCCTCCTTTCTTTCTTTCTTTCTTTTTTCTTTCCTTCTGTCTTTCTTTCTTTCTTTCTTTCTTTCTTTCTTTTTCTTTCTTTCTGTCTTTCTTTCTTTATTATTTTCTTCTTGTTCTTCTTCTTCTTGTTCTTCTTCTTCTTGTTCTTCATTATGACCCACATACAATTTCATCTGCGTTTTTCTTTCCTCCTTTCTTTCTTTCTTCTTTCTTTCTTTCTTTTTTCTTTCTTCCTTTCTTTCTTTTTCTTTCTTTCTTTCTTTATTATTTCCTTCTTCTTCTTCTTCATTATGACCCACATACAATTTCATCTGCGTTTTTTCTTTCCTCCTTTCTTTATTTCTTTTTTCTTTCTTTCTTTCTTTCTTTCTTTCTTTCTTTCTTTTTCTTTCTTTCTTTTTCTTTCTTTCTTTCTTTCTTTATTATTTTCTTCTTCTTCTTCTTCTTCTTCTTCTTCTTCTTCATTATGACCCACATACAATTTCATCTGCGTTTTTCTTTCCTCCTTTCTTTCTTTCTTTCTTCTTTCTTTCTTTCTTTCTTTTTTCTTTCTTTCTTTCTTTCTTTTTCTTTCTTTCTTTTTCTTTCTTTCTTTCTTTCTTTATTATTTTCTTCTTCTTCTTCTTCTTCTTCTTCTTCTTCTTCTTCACTATGACCCACATACAATTTCATCTGCGTTTTTTCTTTCCTCCTTTCTTTATTTCTTTCTTTCTTTCTTTCTTTCTTTCTTTCTTTTTCTTTCTTTCTTTTTCTTTCTTTCTTTCTTTCTTTATTATTTTCTTCTTCTTCTTCTTCTTCACTATGACCCACAGACAATTTCATCTGCGTTTTTTCTTTCCTCCTTTCTTTCTTTCTTCTTTCTTTCTTTCTTTCTTTCTTTTTCTTTCCTTCTGTCTTTCTTTCTTTATTATTTTCTTCTTGTTCTTGTTCTTCTTCTTGTTCTTCTTGTTTTTGTTCTTGTTCTTCTTCTTGTTCTTCTTCTTCTTCTTCTTCTTCTTCTTCTTCTTCTTCTTCTTCTTCTTCTTCTTCATTATGACCCAAATACAATTTCATCTGCGTTTTTTATTTCCTCCTTTCTTTCTTTCTTCTTTCTTTCTTTCTTTCTTTCTTTCTTTTTTCTTTCTTCCTTTATTTCTTTATTATTTCTTTCTTTCTTTCTTTATTATTTCCTTCTTGTTCTTCTTCATTATGACCCACAGACAATTTCATCTGCGTTTTTTCTTTCTTCCTTTCTTTCTTTCTTTCTTTTCTTTCTTTCTTTCTTTCTTTCTTTCTTTCTGACATTCTTTCTTTGTTTTTTTTTATTTCTTTCCATGACCCCAAACGCAGATTCTGTGATAAATATCCAGTAACAATAGATCATCTTCTATCAGATTGCCCAGTGTTATCACCCACTGAATATAAAACTCGGCATGAGAGGGTGGACCCATATCTGCACTAGAAAATTTGCATCTACTTACGGAAAGGAACCTGTAAGAAATTGGTATAAACACAACCAGACTCGGATACGGTGATGGGACCGGTAAGAATTTTATGGGACTTTACAATACACACAGACGGAGAAATCAAATCTAATAGCCTCGTTATCGTGATCACAGAACACTGAAACAGAATGTGCTTTCTAATTGACATGGCAGTCTCTTTAGATTTTAATGTATCTTTGAAGATCTTCAAAAAACTAAAAAATACAAGGACCTTGAAGTGGACACCTAAAAAGTGGCACATAAGGACATCAGTAATTCCATTTGTAATGATTGATTGGGAAAGGTTCCTATAGACCCAATGAAGGGATTCCTGGTAGCTTAAAGAAATACAAAAAAATTCTACTCACCCAAATACAGCTCACAACTGAAAAACTTTACTTAAAATATGTGTGATCTTAGATTTTTTTTCTTTTCTGTTTTTATAAGAATTATCAGTGGAAAATATCATGAAGCTATTTCTGATCTTAGGTCTCTTGTTGGGACCCGGAACGAAATTTATATAGAAAAGATATCAAAGGAAATAATAATAATAAGGATGATGGTGACCATAATATCAAACACAAATAAATTGAAAAGATTAAAAAGTACACTCTGACTTCGGGACTTTAAGGCCACTATTGCCCAAGTTACCATTGTGGCATCAGGGTCTATCCCAACGAAGATAAAGCACAACATCAATAAAACAGGAATACAGTTTAAAATGATATTGCTTCAGGCGTCTTCATTGCCTGGCAGTAATCTTTGAAAATGTGCTCTCTGACTGAGGACGGACGACTTGATTGTCATGGACAAATTCAACTTTTTTCTTTCTGTTTTGTTTCTGTTAATAATTTATGCAAGGAAAGGAAGTCCCTAAGATACAAGAAGCGTGAAAGAATGTGAGAAAGCGAAAAACATTATTAAACAGAATAAAAGAAGAGGAATCAAGAAGAAAGTAGATAATGATTGACACCGAATTTAAATTTTTGACGATCTGAAACTGAAACAAAATTACACAGGCAAGAAGTGCGAGTAAAAAAACCTTTTAGCAAATAGCATAACGCTTAAATCTAGCCAATTCAACTGTAAAACGATGAGACCTTGGTGCCAATCAAGTATTTCGCTTAAATCGATTAAATCTAGGTAACATCAGAACAATGGGAATAGATATTTATAGAAAAAGCGTAGGCGGTGGAAAAATGACTGAAGTTGAGGTGCCAGTTCAGAACCAATAATATTGCAGATTATTCTTTGGTGTTTATCAAGAATCTCTAAATCAATTACAGAAGTACTACATCCTTTTTGGCTGCCCTATTCGAAACATAGTAGATTTATAAATATGTAAAATAGATTTTTCCGAAGAGAAAAATACCTTGTAAGACACAGACTTCCTAACAGAAGAACCTAACAATTAATTCAATATAATCTTCCCTCTTCATGCCAATAAAGAACGTTAGCTCTTGTTACTCTAGTGGAGGTTAGCATCAGCCTTGCTGATAGAAGGCAAAACATTTTCTCTTTGACGATTGAAAGAAGGCAGTTTTGTTTAGGATGTGGTAAAATTAACAAGCCTTTCCTTGCCCCAGTTAACAACAGATTTTTTTAGTGTCACCATTGACATCAACTATCAGTCTGACCTTATCGAACCGATCAAGTTTACTATTGTTATTACGTTTTAGTACAATTTCCGTGGACATTACTTTAGAAATAGCTCGTTTGCCCATATGTTTTTTCTATTACATTTTCTGTAGAAGCATATCACTGTCGCTGTAACGAATCACTTACTCATGAATAGGAGAATTGATATTAGGCAGCATTTCAACGCGTTTTTCTTTGTTTCTAATAGCGTTTTTCTCTCATTCACCATACTTTTTCGTAGATTCCAGAAAACATCATTTGCGATTCGTGTACGGTTTCTAATCTATGCGTGGCATATTATAGCGTCTGTTCACGCACTAAGCATCGTATGAGAATTGGGCCTGTCCATCACTTCGTTAGTTCGCACGACCATTACGCCCGGCTAATACATCAGAAATAATAGGTTATTGCGTTTTGATGGCGTGGACAGACAAAAATCTAATGAGAAACGCTACTTGGCTTGCCTCTTCTGCTGAGGACTGTATTTTGTTTTCTTTTTACACTTCCGACTTCCGTATTACATGGTCTAATATAAGACATGATGAACTAATTCTAAAGACTGTACCGTATAATTAAACCAAAATTCTGCCTTGGTCGCTTGTCTAATAATTAATAACGGTCAAATACGTAATTACTTTTGAAACATCTGAATGTTAAACTTAACGCCAAACGCAAGCTCATATTTTGTATAACCAGGAAAGATTGAAGACATTGCTAGAGAAAACTTATCTTACTAAACAAGGCTCTATAGGAGGCGTCTTTGACTATAGTTGATTTTTTTCGATAAAGTCTGTGATGATGATGACGATGTTGATGATGATGATGACGGTTTTTACCATCTCTGTTGGCGATTTTGTTTTTTATTCCTTTTTCGCTTTCTTGTGCCATTTTTTTCTCCAAGTTTTTTTTTTTTTTGTGACATTTTTCTCGTTGCATTCCAATCTTGCTTTCTGCACGCGTCATTCTTCCAGTGTCCAAACGAAATTCTTCGAATCCGACGGCACCACAGAATCTTGGCCCCTCCCACTCTGCAAATATTGCCTTCATAATGGCGGCCCGATCACTCACCTCTTAACAACTTTTATTGTACTCTTTAAAATACTTTCTCTTCATTCTTCTTGAATTTACTTTTATTGCGCCATCACTATTAGATTTTTCATTTCAGAAATAATTTTTTTTTACGTTTGACTATTGTTGTTTGTTTGTTTGTTTCTTTCTTTTTTTTCCTTATCTTCTTCTTTGGTTTTCATCATTCACTTTTCTTTCTTTTATCATATATTCGTTTCACACTTTCTTTCTTTCTTTCTTTCTTTCTTATCATTTTTGTCTTCATCATTCAGTTACATTTCTTTTGTCATATATTCGTTTCACATTTTCTTTCTTTCTTTTTTCTTACCTTTTTGTCTTCATCAT